GTAAAGTTGTCACCAGTCATGTGATCTCCATAGTCCACATTTAAGCTATAAAATTATTGAACCTCACAAAACTTCTCATGATCCAGTGTTGACCCCTATTCCTTTTTTCATCCTCAAGGATCTTCGTTGGTCTTCTATGATCTTCTATCACTGCTAGCATAATTCATAATGATTCATTTTTCTTTCTCCTCATTAAGCCCTATAAATTCTACTTCAAAATAGAATTGATGACAAATTACTTGCAAAAATTCCACTTTCATGTTCCACATTAGCAACTACCCCCATTCAAACCCTGAGATTTTACCGCCTTCCACATATCTTCAAAACCAAGCTTTTGACAACCAATTTTAATGAAATCTTTTTGTTTTATTGTTTCAGATTGGGTGATGGATTCTGATAGACACCTTGACTTACGAAACTGTAGAGGGTCCACCCAAACCTCTACAGTTCCACAACATCACTTTTATTTCACTTATCACCTTTGGGCCAGTCTAGGTTGGTTACAACCACCTCTTCATCATTGTACTTTATCTTTTTTTTGTCCCTTATTCTCATTCTTCAAAATTTTCCTTTGATTCCTTTCCATTTACCTCTAGTTGTCTATTCCTTTTCAGCAGTGGTGCATAAAGTTTTTCACCAAATTGACTAGGCTTCTCTTCACTCTGCCTTCTTGATTTGGTGCCCTCTTCCAAGCTTTCCCCATAGAACTCCTCTCTACTTTCTTATTGGCTGACTTGGTTCTATTCTAATCACCTCAACCTTCATATCAACATTTTTTCTAGTCTCGACTCCTCGTCTTCTTTGTTTTCAGAAGCACTCACAGTAAGCACATTAGAAGTGCTCACCTGAGTTAAATTAATGGGGGTGAAGATGTTATTGCACTAATTTATTCTGCAATTCTTTGGTAGCACTAAGCCACATTGTTACTTTCATTGCATTTCTTTAGCTTGGTTCCTTGGCTTTTGCTACTTGGAGAGATGTTGAAGTTATCCTTCCGTTATGAACTTGGATTGAGATTTAGGGAATAACTATGAGGTTCGGAAGAATTGTTAGAGAGGTTACTCGGAAAGTCTAGGATCAAAATTACATTCATTTGTTTTTAACCAATCCCCGTACTACCACTTCTTTAGGTCTACCTTTGAGATGTCTTCAATTAGTTTATGACATTCAATTTGAAAAAGTATGTAAATTTGTCGATAAAATGTGATATTATGTTATGAATATGAAATATCATTCTTTTGTTTCCATCAATTTGAAAAGTATACATATCTATATCTATATCTATATCTATATCTATCTATCTATATATATATATATATATAAAGTCATCCTATTTACCAAAAATGGTAGCAAAATTATAGGTTAACATTTAATGCAACTTATAAATAGTAAGTTTCATTAATTTTATTATTATTTTCTTTAAAAATCATGCAACATTAAATGTTACCTTAAATTTCGGGCTTTAGTTCATTTTATTATTTAAAAAACCTGGATAAGTTCTTTTAAGTGTGCATGTTTTTTTTTTCTTAGAAGCAAGGAACAATATTAAAATTCCGGTCTCTATATTTATAAAATCTCAATTCAAAATATAACAGATGTTTTAGAATCTCGGTCTTTATATTTGTGTCTTTCAAACAAATATTGAACGCTAAAAATATTCTTTAAATTGATAATCAATCAATCGATATTAATTTTTTGAAAATCACTATGGTTTAATTTTTTATTAATATGCATAATAAAAATAATTAATTCATCTTTAGATATATAATTTATAATCTTAATATACTATCATTTAGTGTAGACATTTATTATATGATTTATAAAATATTTTTATTTCATAAAATTAAATATATTTACAGGAAATAAGGAAATTTCTTTGGATCAATCGGGTGATTGAATTAGGGTATTGCCCATGTTGATTGAATTACTTTTAGGTGATATTTAAAATATCGATCATATCAGTCCAATCGACTCGTGTTGACGGATTCAATAGCAAATATTGTATTCAAGCGAATTATAAACCGGTTCTATGTCCAGTCGGTCGGACTGTGTCCAACCCCGTTTAATTTAAAACAATGGGTAGATCATGATCAATGTTATTTATATATTAAATTTATAATATAATCGTAATATTATTTTCTCGTGCATCGCACGGGCCACGCACTACTTTGTTAAAAAAGTGTAGCAAAATTAAGTAGATTCTTGTTAGATTTATAAATTCAGTAAGTAGATTCTAAGTGGATTTATAAATTCAGGGAAAGGGACACAATCCCATAAAGGGTGAGCCTATGTGTCACTTAGAGCATCTCAAATTCATAAATATTGTTATTATATAAATCTTGACAAATATCAATTGACTAGATGAATTGTGCTACATAAAATATTTGTTAATTTCACAACTTTAAATCTAAAAAATTATCTCCAATACACAATATAATCAAACACAATATTGTCCATATGGCCAAATAAAAAAACTACAAATAAGAAAAACTAAATTAAATAACCAAATAGTTTTAAAAAAAATAATAATAATATTTCTCCCTCATCTTTTTATTGATTGGCTAGAATGTGAAAGAGAATGAATCACATTCTTCTCTATGTTGTATAAATTATTTATGTCCACCTCATCAATATATTTGTTATCACATTGTGCATTGAAAGATTAAAAGCAGTTCCAGTTAGACTGCTAAATTTGTAAATGTAGAGTATAATACACTATAAGGCAAAATTGAATTTCTAGTCCTGCTGGTTTAACGTTGTAGCATTTTTTTTCCAATATTTCAACTTTTTTGTCTTTTGGTCCTGTAATTTAGTATTTTGTTGTAAATTCAGTCCTAAAGGACTAAATTGCCACAAATTTTAAAATTACATGACTTAAATTGCTAATAGAAAATTCATCGAAAGGGTTTTTTGTTAGCAATTTAAATCTTGTACTTTTAAAAATATTCAATTTTTAGGACTAAAAACGTCACTGAAACAAACCAACAGGACTAAAATTACAATTTTGCCTTTCCCTTAACTACATTTGAGCATTGGATATTAAATGAGTTCCATCCCAACCCCAAACCCAAATCCAATTTGTGTTGAAATTATAGTTCACTAAACTTATAAACGAAATTCATTTTTTCTATTTATTCAATGTGGAACTACTTGGAATAGATACTCTAACAATTCTCAAGAACTATATTCTACGCACCTTCCAAAGTGAATCAAAATATACTTCACTCCAAGAACTAAAACAACTAGGACGAATATCTCCTCTGCAGGTCAATCGGCTTTAGCACAAAACGGCGAAGATTTTATCGGACAGATATTAACCACAAAGGAAAATTGAAACAAATTTGAGGTTCTTATTGCTTTTTAGCAGCAGGAGCAACAATAATGAAATTGGAAATAAAAATGGCAAAAATAAGAAAAGGAAAAGGAAAATGCTATACGGGCAAGATCAGCTAATTCGTTCCAGACCCTTCTTTCCTTCTTTGTTGAAGGGGATTAAACCGATCTTGACATCTCCTAACCGAGACGAAATGACAAAACAAGGGAGTTTTATTCATTTTGTTTAACACGGGGGAAGGCTATTCCAACCTTTCACCATCTCAAGAAACAACTGTTGAGTTTGAGTTTTTTTCCTTTTTGTTTTCCTTTCTTTCCAAGGTACTAGATGCAAAACCCTATAAACTGCATTGTACAAGTGATGTGGCTTTTCAAAGCACGACATCCAAATATCGAGAGCTGGCATGATTGAGGGGCACGGGTAGATAACATACAGTAAGGAGAAGCAGGGGAAGAGACACATTTGTACATGCACTGGCTTTCACATGAAGTAGCTAAGGGATTTCTTTCTGCGGGACCCACCCTCACCGTAGAGTTCGTTCCACTGGAGAAGCTCGGTCATGTTGATCGACTCGGAAGAGACGCTAGCACAAACCTATGGGAATTGATAAGATGTTTGGAACATAAATCTTTGCCTCGTGCATAGATACTAGAAAAATATAATAACATTAACTTGAATAATTTTTTTTATTTTTTTTTCTAAAAAAGATATATATACCCTTTCATGAGCGAATTTGAAGTCCTCCATGTTCAGTGCGCGAATATCAGCACTGCCGCTCAAAGCTGGTGGAGGTTTGCCTTCCGCAAGAGCAGCATCTCGTTCCTGTCATTGATTTCAAAATTAAAGCAGACATAAAATCCTCAAAAAGGGATAGGGGCAGCATACTAATTATAATGAATCATGTAACAAGTATGTAGACCATAATTTTCTCAAAAAAAAAAAAAA